GACAAAACGTACATGAAAAGAGGGTGCTTAGTAATACCGGTATATAGGCCAGCATTTAAAGATGTGGAGCAACATGCTCTCTGCAGATTTCAGAAGTTCTAGCAACTATCTGCAGGAGCGCGTAGCTGAGTTTGCCGATCGACACGAAATGAGCTTACAGAAAAACGTCGGTCCCGAAAGTGTATCTGCTGAAGACATACCACTCTCCCACTTCGGATGGACTAACAAGATGTTGGTTTTCTCATACAATGTAGCATGAAGAAGCTGAGTGATGTTGTAATTCACATAATGGTGTATTTCACAGAGTACCACGCTTTGGTCTTGACATTTTCTAATGCTCTGGTCCTCCCTCAGATAACGTATTCCAGGGATAGAAGTTACCAAGGGGAAAGGTTAGCTCAGAGATGAAGTCTTAGGAAGCTGCTCATCCAACACATACGGCTTTATTTTCAAGGTCAACATTGAATATTTTCAGTCATTTAATCATATACAGCACGAAACAGTAATGAGAGCTCTGCAGTGTTGGATGACCTGCTACAGATGTAGTAGATTAAAAGGCGCTAATCCCCACTGATTCCATACTCTTCTCAGTTCAGCAGAAAAGAACATTCTCAAAGCAAGAGATCTTTTTTTTTTTTTTTTTTTGGACTCCCTAAATGAAATGCTGTACTTGAAGGAATGTCTGGCTTTGGAGAAGCTGATGTAGAAGCGAACCAAATGAATAATTCAATGCATTTTTTCCTGCTTGGATGTTTCTGCAGTTCTAGCTAAAATCACAATTTGCAGTGGGGCGAGCTCTATGTTTACTTTTGAGATGTAACATTTTAAAGACAACAAATCAATTGCTGGTTTTTTTTTTTTTTTCCCTTAGCAGATTGCAGATTAGAAGAATTTAAAGCATTAACTGTTCATCCGCGTGAGCTATGGTGAGTCCAACAAAGTCCAACGCTGACACAAACTCTTTTCATCCTTTTATTTTTAATGAAAAGTGAAAATGTACACATGCTAAGTTTAGCACTAACGAATGTGAATTGTGTATAGCAAAAATGAGCTATAATACTTTTTTTTTTTTTTACTCCAAAAGTAAATATATATATATATCTGCAGAATACTGTAGATAACGGAAGAAAAACATCTGAATACATAATTCTAAATAAGTGTATACACCAAAATCTAAGTACAGGAGTGTATAACGTCACCATAATCAAGCTTTTGCAAACCCTCTTTAACTTACGTTCCAGCTTAGCACTGTCATTCCTAAACTTGAAAGTGCAGTCAAAAAGTAAAATGCAAATAGGAGTACAGAAAATCCGAAGTGCCATCAACTTCTTTCACCAAAAAAAAAAAAAAAAAAAAAAAAAAAAAGATGCTGCGCATTTCAGATAATGTGACACATAAAGCAAAGTCTCCACAAATATCTGTCTTTAGTTTTTATACTTGATAAAAAGAAAAAAAAAAAAAAGTGAATTTATTGTTGCTGGCAGGATGATATGGATGAAATAACCAGGATGAATTGAGGGGGGAAGGGGAGAAAGAGGAGCTAAGAAATCAGATCCATTCAATGAGCCTTCAAACTCACTTCAGCAGCAGGGATAAATAATTTAATCAACTCCGCTTCATTTTTTCCGAGCTCCCCAGCGCAATAGGCAGATATTAAAAAATAAAACTTTAAAATTCATGAGGAGTTGCGTGCAGAAGAACTATCGCTACATAATAAGGAATATAAAGTGCTATCAGTGTAAGCGCTTCGTGTGCATATGCATCTGCGTGTGCCTTTTAGCTCATATTTTTCACCGTATGAAAAGAAATCACTGGTGAAATGTATAAACGCAACTTCTTTCTTTTTTTTCCGATGTACATTTTGGAAGTGTGGGCGAGCACCTGCAGTCAGGCGTTTTCAGCACTGTTTGGCACTGTGGTTAACGAGAACACCGCATGACAAGGCACTGCACTTAGAAAGATGTGAAATAACAAGTAGGGTTCACCAAAGGCAGCTATAGGGCTCTAATTGGGGGAAAATAGCTAGAAAACAGCCATTTGGTAAAAGTCACCAATATCAGATGGTTCCATTAACATGACAAATGATCAATCATCATTTTAACGAGGTGATTTTAATCCCCAGAACAACTCCATACGTATAAAAATAAAACTCGGTGATGAAAAGGTGTTCCTTCCTTTTATAATTTATTAAGGACGCATCGATAAACGCGAAGGAAAACGAACGGCACCGAGTGGTCAGAAGTTCCCCAAATATTCCTATTTTGTATAACGTAGTGGCAGATATATATCACCGTTTTCAGAACCCAAACCACACCGCCGACTTTTCGCCATTTGCGGCGCTCGGGTCACCCCCGCAGTTACATCTCAGTGGTTGAGCGGTGGCAGCAACGCCCAAATGCCCGTATTTCCAAACTACCGAATGCGTAGTTTTCACGTGTGAACCCAAATGATGCAGAGAAACTAATCGCAAACTTCAGCGCTAACCATAACCCAGCCCAGGCTACGTCTGATAAGCACAACGCAGCCGTACCGCCGAGAGACAACAAATACACATAAAACGCATTATCTCATGTTCTTATCATCTACGGAAAGCTCTGATTTGGCACACAAGGCGTCATTTTGATTTCCATTCATTTTGCTACACCGTGAAAATTCAGAGTGCCGACAGTTACGGGCACTGCTGCCTTCCGCCTTCAGAAACCTGCGCGAAACCCACGGGGCGCGCACAAAGCTCCCCGCTCCCGAACGCTTCCCATCCCTATCGCGCGGCCGACGACGCGAATCGCGTGTCGGAACTGGGGCTGCGTGTCGTCATCCCGCAGGAAGCGGCCGTTCCCCTCGGAGGAGACGAGGCACGCAAAACCTCCGTCCGCGCGGCTCAACTTTCGTTTTCAGCCGGTTCGGGAGCTCCCGGTGACACGCGGCCGCCGTCCCCGACCACGAAGGGACGGAGACTCCGCGCCGGGAGGCGCCGGGGCGGGGACGCACCGCCGCGGGGGACGCACCGCCGAGGGCCTCCCACTGCCCCTGGACCCGCTCGCCGGCCCCAGCTCCGCCGCTTCCCCTTCCCCCGCGCTCCGGGGCGGCGGGGCGGGACGCGCGGCTCGGCCGCCGGCGGGGAGCGGGCCGGGCCCGGGTGGGCGGCGGCGGCGGCCGGGAAGGAGATGGGCCGGGAGCGCTCCGGAGGAGCCACGTGGGCCCGCTCGGAGGCCGCCCCCGCCCGCCGGGAAACCGCCCCCAGACGCGGGCGGCGAGCGGCTCCTCCCGGCTTCGAGCCGCCGGAGAGAAGGCGGCTGCGGGCCGAGCTGTCACCTGCGGCCTCGCGGCCAGGGCACTGAGCCCTGTGGTACCGATGGGCAGCAAAAGATTCCCAGCAGCTTCCTGGAGGAAGCGGCAAGGAGCGCCCGCAGCCAGAGCGAGGGGGGGGGGGGGGGGGGGGGGGGGGGGGGGGGGGGGGGGGGGGGGGGGGGGGGGGGGGGGGGGCGAGCGCCGAGTGGGGCGTTCTTCTCTTCGCTCTGTGCAATAAAGTTGGTCGTGTGGATACGGTGAATGAATGTCGTGAAAAGTGCTTAACGTCGTGACCTCTCCTGAGCGAAAGATAGGGCTGTGACACCACTTTAAGAATTAATATTCGGGAAGCGGCTCAAGGATTCCTTAAAGACAAGCGAAGAAAAGCTTTGGTGTCAATTCTTTCTTTTTTTTCTTTTTCTTTTCTTTTTCTTTTTTTTTTAGAACGTACGGGTTTGTTCCAGCAAATATTGCAGAGCACAAGAGTTTGACTCTCCGGTTGATTTGCAGATCGCGGTCCCGATCTGAAGGAACTGAAGGACGGATGTGCCGAGCGCGCGTCCCACGCCGGCTCCGCGCTGTCAGAGGCTGCGGCTCCGCGGCCGCTGCATCCTTCTCTCCCTCCCTCCCTCTTTCCCTGCCGCGTTCCGACTCAATGGATACCCCCGGAGCATCCGAGCGCGCACCTCCGCACACAGCGGAGCGCTCCGCGGGGTGCGGGCACGAAGCGGGGAAGCGGAGGATGGGATTTTCCCTTCTATCCGCTGCTGGTTCCTGGAGGGAAAGCCAACAAGACGTTCAGCTATTGATTCTGCCCTCGTAAGGCACAAACACAAAAAACCGAAACGGCGCTAAACCTCCGCATCGATTCGATCTGCTAAAATCACGCGAATCGCGGAGCTTGGAAGAATGTTTTATTCCGAAGGGCTCTGAATCGCCGCCGATACGGTGCCCCGTTGGGCGGCCCCTCCGACGGGAGGAGAACTCTCCCACGGGCACGGGCAGGGCCGGACGGAGGGAGGCTGACGGGGCTGGGGCTGAGGCCGGGGCCGGTGCGCGGGGTGGGTGCCCCGCACCTGCGTGCCAGTCCTTCCGAAGCGCCAACACCGCCCGAGCCGAAGGCAAAGGAGAGCGGCTTCCATCTATTTCCCACCGCGCGGAGGAGCGGGGGCTTTCTGCCCGTCACCGCCTCGCCGTGTGTATGTGCGTGCGTGTGTGTGTGTACACAGATCTATCTCCTGGAGAGGGATTAATTAGCCGGCTTGGAGCCGCGAGAGGCTGCAGTGACGAGCCCAGTGGCGATTGGCCGCCCGCCCGCCTGGCCCTGCCTTTATAATTTCCACACGAGTGCATCTGGGCTCTTATACAAACCAAGAGGCAGCGCCTCTGACATATCCACACACACACGCGGCACTTTTTCCACCGTCTGATTAACCGCCCCGCACACACACGGTGATTACTACGGGAAAACGTAAATAAATACGAAGAGGTTCTCTTATTTCGACTACTGGAAGGCTCGCTGTGTCTCAGAGCAACTTTTGTTTTTCTCGCTGCCGGGGAAGGTGCAGCTCTCGATGCTCTCCTCTCGCTCCCGGACCCTTTAAAAGAAGGGGGAGGAAAAGCATCGCCCCCCCCCCCCCCCCCCCCCCCCCCCCCCCCCCCCCCCCCCCCCCCCCGCCCCGGCCCCCCGCCCGCCCCCCCGCCCCGCACACTCCGCCGCGGCCGATCCCAAAAAGCAGGAAGAGAGCATCCGAGGAGCAGCCGCCGCCCGCGGGAGCCGCGCGTTCCACTCCGGAGGCGGCAGCCCGATTCTCCCCGAAGTTGGCTCCCGCCTTAGCAGCCGCATTGGATCCCACAGCCTACTGCGAGACTCCGGTGTACAATCCGGATCTCTGCCCCAACATGATCGCGGCCCAGGCCAAGCTGGTGTACCACCTGAACAAGTACTACAACGAGAAGTGCCAAGCCAGGAAAGCCGCCATCGCCAAGACGATCCGCGAGGTGTGCAAGGTGGTGTCGGACGTGCTGAAGGAGGTGGAGGTGCAGGAGCCGCGCTTCATCAGCTCCCTCAACGAGATGGACAACCGCTACGAGGGCCTGGAAGTCATCTCCCCCACCGAGTTCGAGGTGGTGCTCTACCTCAACCAGATGGGGGTCTTCAACTTCGTGGACGACGGCTCCCTGCCGGGCTGCGCCGTGCTGAAGCTGAGCGACGGCCGCAAGCGGAGCATGTCGCTCTGGGTGGAATTCATCACGGCCTCGGGCTACCTCTCGGCCCGCAAGATCCGCTCCCGCTTCCAGACGCTGGTGGCCCAAGCCGTGGATAAGTGCAGTTACAGGGACGTGGTAAAGATGGTGGCGGACACCAGCGAGGTGAAGCTGAGGATCAGGGACAGGTACGTGGTGCAGATCACGCCCGCCTTCAAGTGCACGGGGATCTGGCCGCGGAGCGCTGCCCACTGGCCGCTGCCCCACATCCCCTGGCCCGGCCCCAACCGCGTGGCCGAGGTGAAGGCGGAGGGCTTCAACCTGCTCTCCAAGGAGTGCCACTCGCTGGCGGGCAAGCAGAGCTCGGCCGAGAGCGACGCCTGGGTGCTGCAGTTCGCCGAAGCCGAGAACAGACTGCAGATGGGCGGCTGCAGGAAGAAATGCCTCTCCATCCTCAAAACGCTGCGGGACCGGCACCTGGAGCTGCCGGGCCAGCCGCTCAACAACTACCACATGAAGACTCTCGTTTCGTACGAATGCGAAAAGCACCCGCGGGAGTCGGACTGGGACGAGTCGTGCTTGGGCGATAGGCTCAACGGGATTTTGCTGCAGCTCATCTCCTGCCTGCAGTGCAGGAGGTGCCCGCACTACTTCTTGCCCAACTTAGACCTCTTTCAGGGCAAACCTCACTCGGCCCTGGAAAACGCGGCCAAACAGACGTGGCGGCTGGCCAGGGAGATACTGACCAACCCGAAAAGTTTGGAGAAACTTTAGAAGGGAGCCCTAAAAGGGCCCGAACCGGCTTCTGTCCCGAAGAAGTTTAAGCTTCCCGTTCGAAAAGATTTCCACTTGACAATGCAAACAGTGTTCTCTTAAAAAAAAAAAAGGAATATAGCGTAGGCTCTTCACCGAGAAAAGCGAATACAAACCGCAAGCATCACTCCTCCGGTCCTCGTCACGGTTTTGCAGTTTCCCGCGAATAATAATTATAATAATAATAATAAAATTAAAAAAAAATAAAAAATCAATGTGTTACCCGGAAAAGCGAAATTGGCCGTGATTTACCGCGGCTGTGAGCACTCCGCCCAGGAACGGCACCCACGGATTATAACAAACGCGATCTTTTTCTGTAACCCCCTCCTCCTCCCCCCCCCCCCCCCGTGAGTAAACGCTGTTTGGAGACGCCACCTGACCGACCCCGATGTACCTTTTAATTTGTATCAGATATTGTGAGCTCACATTGTCTTTGAAATTGTGGATGTTGGTGTTTTGTGATTTGGTGAACAGAAGTTAAATTGCCATTTTGGATACTTCAAGGACATTTTCTGCTAACGAGAAGATACCATTTGAAAAGGTAGATTTTATCACGGTACTTTTGTTAATTGTCTTTTGAAGTGTCTGAACTTAACGAGTTTACATTTTTTCGTTTCATATATATTGCTTGTTCTATTTCTAACATTCCATAAATATACTTGAAATGTTATTTAAATATATTCGAAAGAAATTTGGATTCTGCTTATATAATAACGCTTGAATATTGGAATTATATATTTGAAAATGCACTTGAAATACACTGGATAATTACCTTTTGTGATTTAGATTTTAATTTCTGTTCCTGATTTATTTAATTACGAGCTAATAAATGAAGTAAAACGCCTCTGGGTGAGCGTTTCAATATCGGATCAAGTTTTCTACTTGGAAAAAAAAAAAAAAAAAAATCAGAGGGCGGCCACGTTTTGTGAATTTCCACTTTCCTGTCGACAGTTACTTAAACCCCGTAAAGCAGAAAACTTAAGGGAGTCGCCTGATTTTGGATAGTTTTGCAGGGCAAGGAAATGTCGGCGGCGAATTTAGCTCTCGATGGCCACCAGCGGCTGTCAGACACTGACGCAGTTATTCAGTCAGTAGCGCCGTTTCGGCAGTCAGAAAGCAAACCCGTTTTCACGGGGTTTCCCATAGGCGCTCGGGAAGCAGCCCCGTGCCGAGCCCTGTCCGATAAAACGAGCGTTTGGTGCAAACAGTAAGCAAGAAGGAAGTAAAATGTATAGGTGAAAGGGTCGAGCCGGAGCCAATAACGCGAACAACAATATTACTTCTGCCCTCCAAATCCGTTCTGAATGCGATCAGCCCGCCGGTTGCGCACAGAGCCCGAGCCCTGCCGCAGGGACACCGTGTGCGTGCTGCACCGCGGCGTTCCCGCATTGCCGCTCCGTCTCCGGCTGAGTTCCTCACCGCCACCAAACGCAAAGTAACAGCGAGGACTGTGCTCAGTGCCCCCATAGTCAACAAGTGTCGATAGGGCCGATCGCCGGTGTAACACCCACCGGCGGCTTGTTAGAGAGTGCGCTGTAAGGAACCCGTTATTCCGAATGGCTGGGAGAGAATCGCTTCTGCCAGCGCTGCGATGAAAACTCCCAGTTCCAGGAATTATTCGTCCAAGAGAAGTCACCTTTCTACAACCACGCTTATGTTCAGCTGGGTTCGATAGTGTTTTTCTCTGAAATTATTTATGACATTTCTTCCAAACAAAAACCAAACGTCTCCCTTTAAAAGTATCTCTCCTATTCCCTCTCCAGAGAGGCTTCTAACGTTTTCCAGCTCGTTAATAAAAAAAAAAAAAAAACAAAGCGACAACGCTAAGAGTAGAAAGAGATGCGGGAGAGGGGAGCGCCCGACCGGCCCTCCTCGCCTTCCCCTCCGCTGTGGGCAGCCCCGCTGTGCGGCCGGGCGGCGCTGGGGGTTGGTGACACTCGGCGACGGCAGGAAAACAGCAGAGCTTTCCCAGGCACCGAGGCTTGGGTACATGCCTATTTCCTTCCTTCCCGCACCTCCCCCCCTCTCTTTTTAAATATTAGCTTGCATTTCAGCAGCGAGCACGTTTACTACAAATTCTTTACGTGGAAACCGACGCTCTTGAAATAAAGAGGTTCTCTGATAGCATCGATAGGGGTAGATCCCTCTGCTGCGCCTTAGCCTGGGACTGCGGTTACCTCCAGGGATTTCAGAGCAATTGGCTTAACTGCTAAATCTGCCCGCGCTCATACAAAGGCACCGAGAGAAAGGCTGCTGGAAAACGCGCCCGCCGCCGTAATAGAGGATTTACCATCATTAATACGCGGAGGAAATGCAGCGGGAGCCCGCGGGAGGGGCGGCCCCGAGCCACGCGTGTCCCCGAGCTCGCTCGCTCACCTTGGGGTCGATCTTCTTGAAGGCCGCGTCGTCCTCGTCCACCTCGAAGTAGATCTCGGTGGTGGTAATGGAGAGCGTCCCTTTGGCCACCACCACGGGGGCGACGAGCTGGGCCGGCGTGCTCAGCACCACGGGGCCTGCAAGACAGCGGCAGCGGCGTCACCCCGGGCCCGGCCGGCCCAGCCCCGCGGCCCGGCCCCTTCCCTCCGCCCGGCGGTGCCCGGCGGTGCCCCGCGCAAACCCCGCGGGGAAGCGCCGCGCTCGGTCCTCTCCCGCTTTGAACTCCGCGGTCGGGACAGGAAAAGAGTTTGCGGGCTGCGGGCAAATCAGCGAGCACATGGAAGGGTTAGGGCGGAAAGCGCTGCCTCTCGCACGTAGGTCCCTCTCCCTCCGTGCCCCTTTGCTCCTCGTTAACACCACCGCTGTTTATGGGCCGTGGCGGGGGCTCCCGTGCCCCGAATCTCCCGGCCCCGCACTGCGCCCCGAGGGCAGCGCCGAGGATGGGGTTCTGGGTACCCCTCCGAGCACCGCACACAGACAAAGGCTGCTGCCATCGTTAGGGGTATTTATGGCAGTGTCATTTTTATTTCAGCTCGCTGTCACTTCACCCTTTTAAAATGCCTGTAACGAGGTTTCGCTCGGATGTACGCCGTAACGAGGCACTGGTGTGGGTACTGGGAGATGGGATGGGGAAACCCACTGCGAGAGGCAGCCTTCTGCGCTCACTTTGTTAGGTCTTAATTCAAGAAAAACTGCTTTAAGGCAAAAGGTAGCGCAGGATCACTTTGTCACCATCTTCGGTAGGAATGCAGTGAAAGCTGACAGTGTTGGTGCTTTGGAAGCTCACTTGCTGTAATTAAAAGATGAAATATAAAATGCTTTTCTGGATTTAACTGCTGAATGGTGAAGGGTGATTTGTACACACATAAACACACGCGTAAGCACACACACACATCCGATGTACAAACAACAAAAGCCTCAACACTGAGAGACTCAGCGCAGCATCCACCCAGCGCACCTTTAGGAGCAGCCAAACCCATCAGCTCAGCGGGTGGCAAAACTCCTTTCGTTCGCTTCCTGCGGTTCAAACCCCTCCGCCCCAAGAGGAAAACCTCGCGCAGCGAGCGCCCACCATGGCCGACATCCCCAGGCCCCAGCCTCGTGGGGACGAAGACCGCGTGTTTGGGGACTGTTGTGTCCTAGTGAGCCCTGGCTCTGCTCGCTGGTCCCGGGGCTGGGATGTTGTCCCAAAGCAGGGATGCGGCCCCAGGGCCGGGATGCGTCCCCACGTCCCGCCTGCAGCCCTGCTCCCTTCAGACCCACAGAGCACTGTGCCACTGCTCAGCAGGCAGCAGCGCTTCGAATTACCCACTTAACCCAAATTAATCCTGTATCAGCGCATCTCACTGTCATGTTCTTAATGTTTCCCTTTGCTGCAACACCCAATTTGAGGCTGTATTGCACAATATTTTGTCATTCTTTGCTGCAAAATAAACACGGAGGAAGGTGCAGATTGCCGGTGTACAAGGACGAGCTGAAACGTGGGATCCAGTGACAGCTCTCAGCAGCCCGGCATGGCAGGCGGCAAAATATTGATACGAACTCTATTTTCTTTCATTTTATTGTTTTCCATCCCCTAATAAAGCAGGGCAGCCTCCTGACCCCGGTCAGCTGATCGGGATCACATGCGCGGGGCTGCCTCGCCGCTCTCCCCGTCCTGCCTCCATCTTCCCTTCCTCCCTGCACCGTGAGAAACAGCCGGGCCGGACCTGGCAGAGCCGGGGAAGCCCGGCCGCAGGCTCGGAGGGCAGGCGGATCGATCCGAAAGGCCGCTTTAAAGGCTCATCAATCTTCATCAAGCTTGCTCGAGTAATTACGCCCGATTCCCTTGTACGATTACAAGTGGATTTGGGTTTCAATTCCCCAGGCCCCCTCTCTTTGTGTTTACAGAAGGGGAGGCCGAGGCTGCCGCCCCGCGGAGCGCTCCCCCGGAGCCGGCCCGGCCCCTCAGCCCGCAGCCCGGAGCCCGGAGCTCCGAGGGTGAGCCCGACCGGCCGCCGCCGCTTTAAGGAGGCGTCTGTGGGGCTTTGCGGAGTCCCAGAAGGAAGGCCATCAATTTAATCCAATTACCCCTTTTCCCTCGTGTTGCGTGGCTAAAATAAAAAATAAAGGCATCGCTACTTCGCGGTCCAAATGCCAAACCCCGGGAGCTGACGTGCGGGAGGAGACAATGGGTGCGCCCGCACGGAGCTGGGAATGGCTCCGGACCGGAGCAGGGGGCAGCGCTACGTGGACGTGGAAGGGAAGGGGCAATCGCTTTGAGGCTGTCCCTGAAGGGCTTCTGGCTCCATCCTCCCCATCCCGAGGACGGCCCCGTGCCCCCAGGACGCACCTGGGCTGACACCCGCGTCTGGGGCATCCCTATCGATACCTCTGACCTGTGTACGCTGTAACCTGCAATCAGCGCATTCCACTCTGCAGAAGAGAAAACGTTCTCTTTTTCGAAAAAAAAAAAAAGAAAGAAAAAAGAAAGAAAAAAGAAAGAAAAAAGAAAAAAAGCAGCCGAAAGAATTTTTAAAGCAGTGAATAAATTAGGGATTCGAGGGGAGGGAGTCCAAACTAAGTTTAAAAAAAAAAAAAAAAAAAAAAATATTGGCAGGTTTTTT